ATGAGTGTTCTTCCCCTCTGAGCTACTAGCTTGACTATTCCGTCCACCATGGTATGTCTCTTTAGCCTTTAACCATTCCCCGTATTGGCCCTCCACCGGTGTATTCTGTTCAATGTCTGAAGCTCGGAGTTGACATCCCATGTCCAAATGACCTATTTTCCCGCAATAGTAACAGAGGTTTACCAACCTCTCATATCTGAAGGCAACTAATATTTTCTGCTCTCCCAGTTTCACAGAAGTACAGCGGGGAATTGGTTCCTTAAGATTTAGGTTCACAAGGATTTTAATAAAGCTACCAACTTCCCCTCCTACCTTACAAATGATCACATTTTTCACTTTATTGAAGATCTGCCATATTCTCATCCCCACTTCAGTGCTCATCCAATTGATCGGGACGTTGATGATATGCACCCATATGGTTACCTCATCAAAGCATTTATGCGAACTGTGAAGCCCTGGAAACCATTCTTTAAGGATAAGGTATTGGTTCCCGTATAGCCAGTTATTTCCCGCAGCAACCTTACATTTGTCTTCTTGGGATGTGAATATGAAATGAAAAAAATTGGAGCTTAACTCCTTCACTTCCATGGATTGTTGATTTTAATGATACTCATCGTTCGTTTAATGCCCATCATTATTGCACGTCTATCGCCCACCACTTTACCGAATAAGCTCCTAGCACATTCCTCCTCGCTGGACTTAACATCATCGTGCCTCAGTTCTATTTCTCCGGCTTCCTTCTGAGATAACGAGATGGCTTGTAGCTTCTTCATCACATCCTCCCCCATATTACGCTCTTTAACTCTCTGCTCGCCCGGATCCTCCATCATTAGAAAACCCCCAAATTGCCAAACTGGCCTGCCAGGGAAACTCTAGCTGTATTACAACTCAATTCTCGACCCACACACTCTCGTGCCGATATTAACGACACAAGATCACACCGATATTCACCTATATCACACACCCACACCAGAACACTTCACCGAAGTAATTTCGCTTCCACCGGAAGAATTCGGCTCTCAACGAGAGAATCTCTTCTATTACTGATTCAATAATGATGTTATTTATTTGTCATTTACTTTTTATGATATATATATATATATGTATTAATTGAAATATTTTAATAAATATATCCCGTGCATCGCACGGGTGAAGATATTGGTATTGTTATAGGGAGGTGTGGCCATGACCTCATTTACTTTCACTTTGAAAATTATCATCACTTTATATTATTTGGGGATTTTTTTTTAGCTCTCAAAATATGCTTGTTTTTTTTAATTTTTGTCCTATGAAATTTTTTCTTTATCATATCTATATACATATGAAAAAGTTTGATTATTTTTTAAATAGTAACTATTTCCCTAAAAAAAAATCTATTTACTATAATAGAAAATTAATTTAACAACTGTATATTTCAAATAATCACTTATGGAAATTGCGGCTCATTATTTAAGGAAATAATTAAGCCATAGATAAAAGATTATTTTTAAGATACCTTAATTACTCAAATCATGTGAATTTGGCTGATTTATCCAAATATGGGAATTTGGACCGCAATATCACTTGTGTGATTTGGTAAAAAATTTCAGCCAAATTGTGTAATTTATAATTTAATAAGTGTTTTATATTTTTTTCGCATAATTCTTTTGTGAAATGTACTTTCAATATACATTAACTATGCAAATTTTGTAAATTCAACTGATTTATTTAACCTGCAAATAATTACTACAATCATGGAAATATCGACAACAATAATCATTATGCGATGTGCAAAAAACTGTTCTAAAAAAAGTGTTAATGACAGTTTTAATTTTAATATTACTTAATAAATGTTATTCAGTTTTTGTGCATTTAATTTAATTAATCAAATCGCGGATAATTAAGGAAATAATTAGACCATAAAAAATTACATTTTTAAGATACCTTAATTATGCAGATCATGTAAATTCAGTGGATTTATTCATTTATAATTTTTTTATAAAATTATTCCAAAATAATAGTGTTAATGGAAGTTTCTATTTAATTATTTTTTAATAACTGTTATTTGAGTCTTTTTTATTTTTATCTATTAAAAACGTGGGTCTCGATTTTGTGTTGTACGCTGAGCAATTAATTTTGTGGTAAAATTGAATATAATTTTTGTATTTTATCTATAACGTATGAAATCAAATTATTTGGTACAATATATATTTATCAATGTTTTTTTCATATTGCTAAGCATTTTACTCGATATTAATGAAAGAAAAATATGGAGAATACTATGATCGATACTTCTTTGTAAATGTGCATGAAACATATCAAAATATTTGGTATATATATATATATATATATATATATATATTTATGTAAACCGATCAATCTATTTAAATTAAACAATCACATCCCCGCAACTTAACAAGCATAGCAGAAAGAAATTGAGATCTCCAATCGTACCATAACATTAAAACAATCAATCAATTCATACCACAACGCATTGTAGTCAAATCAAATAAAATTTTAAAATAAAATCTATTTTAAAATGAATATAATGTAATTTGTTATCGGTCATTTGAACCGTACGGGCGTGTACTAATTTTAAATAGACGTGTTTTATGTAATTTTTCACAATTTAGAATTCATATAACATATTCGACAAATTAATATTGGTAAATTGTATTACATATTAATTTCATATTTTTAATTTATAAACATTAATGAATATTTTTTACCCGTGCATCGCACGGGATTAGTACCAGTTGCGTCTAAAATACGTGCAACTGACAACTTGTTTTCTTTACAAACTTTTTTAATTCAATTAACAATAACTAGTACAACGCCCGCAAACTACACAGAGTTTAAAGAAAAAATTAATTATGCAACAAGAAATAAAAAAAATAAAATTTTCATTGTGAAAGAAAAATTAAAAGCAATTAATAATAAAGTAAAAGAATTTGTAATTTAAATTACAGAAAATATTTTTTATGAAATATTATATATTTTACTTAAGATATATTCATTTTTTTAAATTAAATAGAATAATGAATTTGTTATCATTTAATATAACACTCGTGAACGACAGAGGTGCATTACAAAAATAAAATATTTTTATCAAAAGAAACAAGTAAAATAATTTATACTCTTATAATATGGTGATAAAAATGACGAAAAACCAATTAGCTTTAGAGCGACAAAACTAGAGATGTTAAACGGGCTAGCCCTAGCGGGCTTCAGGTTAAACGATCCGGGCCTAAAAAGCCCCGATTTAAACGGGCTACCAATAAAAAGATATAACCCTAAACCTAGCGGGCTTCGGGCTAAACGGGCTAAATGGGCTATAATAATAATGATAATAATAATAATAATAATAATAATAAATTACAATACCTAGTTAATGGTTTTTTTCAACGGCTATTTGGTATCTACCATTATATATATACAACCAATGTTTTAAATACCATACCAGTGACCATACCGGACGAGCCACCGGTACGCAGTTCAACCGATTTTACCGTCTATTTTATCAGTTTTAATAAATATTAAATTAATCTATTATTGTAATATAAATAATATATAAAACTAACTATAATAAATACTAAAATTATCTAAAGTCAAATAAAAATGTAAATATATTAAATTTAAGTGTAGAACTTTCTGTTTATATAAATAAATTAATAAAAATATGTTATAAAATTTTTTTTTTTGAAAAATCCGGTATGCCCGGTATTTTAGCCGGTAAAACTGGTATTTTCTGGTATGAAGCCGGTATATACCGGTATTTTGGCCAAAACGGTATTTTGGAGGTAATCATACCGGTTGGACCACCGGTATCCGGTATTACCGGTAATACCGGCAAGTACATACCAGTATTTAAAACACTGTATACAACTACACTTCATATATGAACACATATTACAAACTCTTAAATAACATATTGGTTCTCAATAGAAAAAAAAAAATGTTCGAACTAACTACTAGTTATTTGGTACGCTTCAGGAAATTTCATAATATAACATACTGCTGAATTTATATTCTATCACTATATTCTATGTGTTAAGTCTTTGTCTCATTTGTTTTTATTAGCCGTTCTGATTGACTTAAATATTTTGCTGTGAAATAGAATAAAATTCGTTAATAATTATCTATCAAAATAATAATAATACATTATAACTCGTAATTATATGTGAAGTAAAATAGCCAAATTGTAATATACAAGGAATCTTGAGACAAATTCCTTACCTTTCTAAGAACATATACACAACCCAACTCAAGTTAAACGGGCTAGCCTTAGCGGTTTTCGAGCTAGCCCTAACAGGCTTCGGGCTAAACGGTCCGAGCCTAAAAAGTCCGGATTTAAACGGGCTGCCAATAAAAGGCTCTTACCCTGTTTTTTTCTGGGCTAAACGAGCCGGCCCGTCGGGCCAATGACTATTTAACATCTCTAGACAAAACGGTACCCAACCGAGAGGGCCACGATGGGACGGGAGTCCGAGAGCACGACTCGGTGGTGAGCAACACCGCGAAATGTCTTGTTTGGTGGAGGCCAACGACAAACTCACGGCTAAGGTGTACTGTTCAAATTATGGGAAAATCGCGAGGAGAGAGAGAAGTTCTGTAGGGGATGCTTGGAAACAATTTTTTTTAAAAAATCCATTCAATTTTTAGCCAATCACTTTTTTTTTTTAACTCAACTCAACTATCCTCAATATTCTCAATATAATTAAACAATATCAATCAATCATTATTAGACATTACATCAACTCTAATTCACTATTCATCTACTCATATAATTTTAACAAACTATCATTTCACATTACCTCTCCTACTTTTATATCAAACCAACTTTAGTTAATTTATTTTAAATATTATTTTAATATAAAGTCAAAACTCCACTAACAACTAAGAATACCACTTTTTTCAAAATTAACTTTCTCAAACTAAAAAGTCCAAACAAAACAAAAATAATTTATATTCAAGCATCTCTAGGTGTCCATATCCGTTGCTTTGTAATTTTTTTCGGAAACAATAGATTATAATTAATAATTAATAAACTGAAAATATTTTATATATATCCGTTGCTTTGTACAAATTGTTGGATTTGTAATTTCGAGGGTCGGAACAAACGTTTGCAATTTTAGAAATTCCAATCCAACCGAGTACTCTTACTACCCTAGGCGGGAAACCCAAAAAACTAATTACCGACGATGAGGGGACGCCGCCGTCCGACGGAATCCATTGGCCCGGACCGCCGCCCGCCTCCTCCTACCCCCACCAGCACCGCCGATCCATGGCATTTCCTGGCTACCCCAGTCCCAGGACGCGAATCAGACGCCAGCTTCTGCAGCAGCCGTCCCTCCACCGCCTCCGTCGTCCGCCCCTCCACTACCCTCCCGAATTTCTCCGACCGCTCCCACCAATTCGCCGCGCTCAGAACCATTAACTCCTACCTCGCCTCACAATCTGTCCCTTTCGCCCTCAAGCCCCCTCTGCCATCCGCAAAGGACGTAACCGAAACCCTAAAATTTCTGCTGCACCGCCTCGGGTTCACCTCGCAGAAGATCGACGAAGATCTCGGCCACGCTCTGAAGTTCCTCAATTGCCCCTTCAAACTGAACAAATCCGCCCTGCGTGCTCCCGGCACGCCCCACTCATGGCCCAACTTGCTCGCGGTTATTCACTGGCTGGTCCAGATTATCAAGTACAAAGATTACACGATGACCCCTCCCCCAAACTTTGAAGGTGATAAAATGTTCATGTACACTGTGAATAGCTACCTGCTGTTCATCAGTGGAGATGATGATAAAATAGATGCTCTGGATGAAGACTGCATTAGGGAGATGACTGAGTGGAAGGATACACTGGAGGAGAGAGTGAAGGGCTTTGAGGAAAATGTGAAGGAATTGGAGTCGAAATTGGATGCTATGAAGGCAGGGCCGACTCAGAAAGAATGTCTGGAGCAGGAAAAGGCCGTTTTGGAGAAGGATATTACCAAGTTCAATATTATGATCGAGCAGTTGTTGAGCCATCTGACTGAGGTGCAAAAGAAATTGGAGGAGAAGGGTAAGGCAGTGGAGGCAAAAGTGGAGGACAGGAAGAAGATTTGTGAGGAGAACGAAGAGTTGAAGAAGAGGGTTGAGGAGCAAGGAATTAATTTGAGAGATGCTGAGAGAATGAAGAGGGAGTTGCAGGCTGTGGAGCGGGATATTGAGGAGACCGAGTCTGCAAGAAATGGCTGGGAGGAAAAAATATGGGAGCTTGACCCGGAAATTGGTCATAAGTTTAAGGACCTTGAGCGGTTGGTGATGGAGGCTAACCAAGCTATCAGAAGGTTTATGACTTTTTCTTCTGTCCTTTGTTCTTGTTTTGAAATATATTAACTTGTTGAGGTTGCTGACTTGCTGTTACCATTTTGAACTTTGCCGCATTTATGATGTGGTTTGCTAGAGTAGACTTTATCTGCTTGTTGTTTTGGCTAAGTAAGCTGCTGCTTTGGAGGTCTTGTCTGCTTTGATGATGTTGTATTTGAGCATGCATTGGTAAATGATACGCATCTTGTGTGCATTGTTGTCTGCTTCTTGCAAACAAACACTTGAGACCGCAGCATATGTGTTTTTCTTGAGAGTTAGATAGAAAACTGTCTCAATAAGTTGGTGACAGTAAACGCTGAATCAGTGAACAACTTATAGCATCTTATCTGTATTTTTTGTTTGTTCCACCAGACAAAAGCTATATGCTTGTAAAAATTGTCAACCATTTTTTGAGGAGCTCTGCTTGTTTGTGTTGTGTTTCTTTGTTCCTGTAAATGCTACAAATATAAAATATTTAAACAAGAATCCAGAGGAACAGAGTCAGAAGTGGAAAAAATAAATGTTTCATATCAGGAAGAGACTTATTCCTTTGATTTTTTATTTCCCTTTTAATGCATAATGGATGCTGCTAGTTGACGAAGATACCTGATACAGGTCGTTTTCCTTTCTTGTTCTACCCTATTGTTTCTTGACAAAGCTTCCAACTTACCATCACCTGAAGACCTGTATCTGCAATATATTACATAAAATTGTTTTTAATGGAGCGAGAACCTTCTCCATTGTGTTATATGAAGTTCACTTAAAGCATTATATTTACTTGTCTATCGTCATGTGTTTTGCCAAGTTGACACTTGAGTCCTATGAATTGAAGCCGTGAAGGTTCATAGTAGCGTTGTAGAAGCTATCTTTTTTGTACCATACATTAATGCTGCTCTGTTAATATATGGGCGTAATTAAGATCTTCATATGAGGCTGTAAATACTTCGTCTCCAGGTTATAGATACTCCCCATAAAGGAATTATATAGTTTCCTAATGGATCATGATTGGAAAATTGATTCGCTATTGGTTTCCAGGTTGAAGATTGGAAATGGATTTCAGTATCAGTTGAATGCCAGGGGATTGACACCATCTGATGTGCTGGGGTTAGACTACAAATCAGTACTGAAGCCTGCACTTGCTTTATTCAGTGAGGACATTAAAAGAAGTTCAATGGGGAAATTGGAGGAGTTGATTTCTCTTCGGCAACAGTCGGGTGAAAATACTGCTAAGCTTGAGGAGAGACGGAATCATATTGCTGCTCTTCAGTCGCATATTGATGAGGTAAGTTTGATTAAGCTGATTTTCGGCTTGATACTTATAATTGGTATTTCCCTTATATATATTTCAGCATCGAGAATGAAATTGAATCAGTTTGCTTCGCATGCATCTCTAACTTCACTTAGTTAATGTATAAAAGAATGATGGATAGGTAGGAAGTGTTCTATTTCTGTCCCACTGTGCAACTCACTAAGGCTCTGTCTTTAAGGCTTGGGTTAGGTAGACTGGTACTGTGCATTTTTTAGTTTAACCATCAGATATTCAGATCTTCTTTGTTCTTGGTACTGAGTTTGTTGGTTTAAATTTCCCTTGTAGTCCATTATTGCTTTGTTACTGCAGGAAATTCTTTTTTTTTTTTTTGGTAGTTTCTCATCTGTATTCACATATGTTTATTTCCAAGAAGAGAGACGAGAAACAAAGAAAGAAAAAAGAAGGAAACCCAGAACTGAAAAATGAACTAAAGGAAATGAATTGCCACATGTTTTTTGTTGATTTATCCAAAATGTTTAACTAAGTAACAAATGGCTTAATGAAGGTTATTGATTAGGGATATTAGAATTAGGAATCATCCTGTTACATGCAATGCTTCTGTATTTCTCCATATAAATTTGTGATTGTTTGTGCAATATTACTATGATAACTTTTATGCCAATATTACTATGAAAACTTTTATGCCGAGCCGATCTACAAAACCAGAGAGTTGTGGTCAATTGCTGGAAGGCATAGGCTTGAGAGATCGTTGACTCTGGTCTTCTTTCATTTAGTTTAAGAACTTGTACTAGGCACTTCCATTCTGGATCACTGAGCGTTGAACATTTTATATGGCTTACATTCTACAGCAAGCTAGAAAATCGTATAAGATGAAAAATCGGTATCAGATTATATCCTTTCAAATGCTTTATTGCACAGGTTGAAGCTCAGTTGAACATGATAAGAAAAGACACACATGAATATACCTCTAGATGTGCAGCAGAAGCAAGAAAACTGGCAGATGAAGTTGACCTGGAAGCTCATAGTATGTCTGTTGTAGAAAATGAAGCTGCAGAGTTTCTGAAGGTAACTTGGATTCACCTTTATATATGATTTAACATAAGTCACCTAGTAGTTGCCTTCACGTGTCCAGAAAAATGTGTCCATGATTCAATATTTTGATCACTTTTAAGTGCTTCTGCCTATCTTAATATTGTCACAAGAAAGCATATTCTTCGCTTGAACGGAGATTGTTTTCATTATTTTCTGTGGTTCTTAGAAAAGGGTAGTTGTTGTATAGAGTTTGAATTTTATCGAGTGATCAGCATCGGACATTTTTATTTACCACTATTATTTGACATGTTTTGGGGCAGACTTCGAAGTTGGAATTGGAAGCAGCAATAGCGCAAGCTGAGGAAGAGGTTAAATTGTGCGCTCAGGAACTCTTTAACTTGATTAATTCCGTGTCTACACATAAAGAGTATGTGGCATCAAAAATTGCTAGGATGAGGACCGATCTTCTAGAAACTGCTGGTGCTGTGGCTGACATATACAAAGGACATCGTTCTTCATAGAGCTCCGCTGTTAAATCTTCGAGCAGCTGATGATACACTTTAACTCTTAGCAAGAAAGGTTGTGAACTCAGATGTTACCTTGCATTGATAGGGCAAACTTCGTCTGAGATCTGGAAGGATGGGTTCTTGTGCAGGAATTATTCTGTATGTATGTCTGATCAATTTGGCGGGATTTGCTTGGCTCTGCCATTTTAGTGTTCTTNTTCTCCTCCGACCTTGTTTCTAGTCTTCTTTCTCAGATTCTGGTTGGCCGCCGCCGCCATCGCCGGCTGCCGATTTCTTGCCTCCCGCGTTCTCTCTCTCTCTCTCTCTCTCCTCTTTTTTTCGTTTCTTTTTCGTTCTTCTTTTTTAATTTCCATGTCTTTTCTTGTCTCAGTCCATCCTTACCTCAGTTCCCAGCTTCCAGAGTGATTCGCCGGCAAACTCTATTTCGCAGGCTTCAAGTGGCTTGCTTCATGGCACCTCCGCTCTCGTTGCCTCTATTGCTCTCATCGCATTTGCTTCCGTTGCTATTGCTGCTCTCGGCGCTGTGCTGCTCCAGTGGGGCCGGCCTCGTCGCTTTTCGGGCCCTTTCTCTCATGCAGAGAAGATATCGAGCTTAGTCACCATCCTTTTAGCTCTGTTCCCAAAAAATTGTGCTTTGCTGTCACTGCCCGCTCAGGAAAGAGGTTTTCCGGCTGCCGCTGCATTGGCCAGTCTTCCCCTTAGCTCCCCCAGCTCTCCTCTAACCTATGGCCACTTGTTAGGGTTTGGAGGGATAAGGGATGACGTGGCCCGTTCACCAAGCACCCCTTTGGACTTGATCCCAGTTGGGCCTCCATTGGCTTTTGGCTCCCTGGGTCTTCCTTTTGGGCCTGCTACCCAACCCATTATTCATTTCACCTCTCCAGCCCATTCTACCCCTCCTCAGCCCACCTTATCCCAGCCCGCTCAAACACCTCCACCTTTAAGTCCAACAACATCCCAGCTAACTATTACCTCTTCTCAGGCCACTCTTTCAACCCACTCCCCACCAAACCCACCTGCTGAAGTCTTATCCGAACCGCCATCGGATACCTCCTCTGCCGCCCTGTCGGCGGCTGCCGCCACCACTCTGTCGCCAGCAAGGCCCCAGCTCCAGCGACGGCGCTAGATTCTGACAGCTCTCCAGCGGGCTTGTTTTGACGACCGGAATACTTGGGTCCATGCCGGTTTCTCCTTCGGGCCTCGTTTTTTTGGCCTAAGACAACTCTTTGACGGCCACCGAATTCTCATTGATTGGTCTACCCCCGACGGGCATCTCTCTGAGCCTTCCCTCATCCCCCGGTTCCTCTCCGACTCCTTCCGAGGCACCTCCGAGAACAGTTTCCTCCGATCCCGATCATTTCGAGATTGTGATCACCGGCAAATCTACCGGTGTGACAGAGCAGTGGAGATTCACCTTTGATAGCTACTGGGACAACCCTCGTGGGTAAGGAAACTAGGATACAAGTGTAGTGCGACAACCGAGTATTATAATTTTAACAATTTTCATGTCACCTTCGAGCTGAAGGATGACTATAATACAACGTGGCTTAAGACGACAACTTTCGTCTGTGGGTGCATCACCAGGGTGTTTAAATACATCCCTGATTTCACCCCCTCGACTGACAGCTCTCGCCGCAGTCTGGTGTCGACTCCCTGGTGTTCTTCCCCATCTTATGACCCTTCTGTTCTCTGTTTCATTACCAGTTGCATTGGCAACCCAATTGAGGTTGATGCAGCTATTGCCACTCGACCGAGGATATCCGTTGCACATGTGTGCGTCGAGATAGACCTCCATAGCGAGCTCGTCTGTGAGATCGAGCTCGACCAAGCAAGGACGACCACCATTCATGAGTTGGTCTACGAGAGAGTTCCACTATTCTGCACCTTGTTTGACCACGTGGTCACGTTGGGGGCTGACTGCTACATTAGTGGCAATAAGCTCAATCCGGCGAGGGGAAGCTAAACGACGGTCGACGACACGAAGGCTAGCTCACAGTGAACCTCACTCCCAGCTCACACACACTCAGAATTATAGGGCAAAGATTCAGTGTATCGATCGATTGAGAGAATCGGGGTTCGAGAGAGAAATCGGTTTCAGCCGCTGCAAGAGAAAGAGGGGCGAAGTGTGTGAGATCAATCTGATGAGTTAGGGCAAGAGAGGCTATTTAAAGTCAAGATGGATGGTGGTGATTTAATCCCTAAATCCAACAGTCCAGAGCCATCCATGCCAATTCCGTGTGTGAGGGCCAGACCCAGACGGGAGTTGGGTCGGGGCTTCGTTGGGCCTGAGATAGGTATTGGGTTTGGTCTAAATATCCCAAAATTTAAAGTTTTATTTGATATTTTTTAATTTAGTTGGACAAATAAATTTAAATTTTATTTATAAGGATATATATCACTATTTAGTATTTTACATATGTAATATGGATGCCAAATCGAAAATCATTAAAATATAATTAATTTGAATATTATATATAAAAAAACAAAATACAAGCCATTTTTTTTTTAAAAAAAAATAAGAATAATATAGATTTATAATGGCTGATGTATGATAGCGTAAGAAAAAAAAATGCGAAATAATTTATGGTAACTTATTGTAGAGCAAAAGAAGGAATATATCAATTACAAATTTACTGTGAATAATATAGATATTTAAGACAATCAAGACTAATTATTTTTGTATTAAAATATTAGTTTATCCAAGTCTGCTAATGTAACATTTTCTTTTTGCCACATAGAATTCTAAAAAGTGTGAGTCTGCCACTTAAGGTCTAACGCGTTCGATAATTATATATAGAGGTTTGTTTATAAGCAAATAAATTTCTTTAACCAATTGAAAATATAAAATATTTTATATCTGCAGAGTTAATTCGCGGAATGTACTGAAAAATGAGTAGAACGACAACTTTGCCTCTCATTTCACAATATTATGTTATCTATTATAAGAATTTCTTGAATATGTACGAGGCACCATGAATTACATTTTTAAAATACACAAAATTAATTTAAGATATCATCAAATTTTAAGTGAACCATTAGACTAGTATTTGTTATTTTTTTTACATTTCTCTTGTATAACTTAAACTAGTATAATACTCATGTATTACACGAGTGTTGAATTAGGAAGCATATGTAAACAAATTTCTATATAAAACATTACTTTGAGTTTTAATTAAATTGTCAAATTATATTTTTTTCATCATAATAATTAAACACCCGTATATTAAATGAAAATGTCAACTCGTATTGAATTTTTTTACTTATATCATATAAATATATCGATATTATTTACTATTGCATAAGTACAAAAATATATATCTTAAATAAATAGAAATAATATGGTGATATGTATATGCATAAGTGTAGAATATGTGTTTAATATTAAGCAAAATAGATTAATTTTTTACTTAATTAGATGTCTAATATATCAAGTGTCGTATCAGTCGTGCTTCACAGTTTTTTAATTTTATATGTAATTTTAGAATTAGATGTACACTCACGAGCGTTGTTTTTTTTTTTTCTTTTCTTTTCATCTTGATCATGGATTGGATGTTAGTGATGATTTTATTGAATTAGTATACTCTTTGGTCTTTTAACAGAAGGAAACAGAGAAGTTGAGTATTCAAGATGAAGTCAATTCACCTTTTTTTACATGTTACATTATTTCATATATTAACTTATCTAAATTATATTAATATCAAATATTTCTTAGATAATTATCTTAATCAAGTAACTAATATAGGCATACTGGATCATGTATGAAAAATATTTAAATAAATTACCCATTATAAACAGGTGATTAATTTTTTTAATTATGGATATTAACAGTTATTTCAAAAGATGTATTACACTCATAGTAATAAATACAACAAATGGCATTCCTATGTGATATAATCAAAAATAATAATCCAATATTGGGTCCGGACTCGGTGATTGAAATTAACTTTAATCATAATCATATAATCTTTTTGACCAATGAATGCGAGGATATATATAACAAATGTATATTAAATGCCTAAAATAAAAATAATTATCAGTCGAGTGTTTTAATGAAGTCATAATATTAAGTAAAAATATATTATAATATTAAAAAAAAAATCCTATTTATTTTGGAGTTGGAGGGGATAAGAATTCTATTTCTTTTGGAGTTAGATGTATTATAACATTATTTAGTATATCCGAACATATTTATTTTGGAATATAATTGTACTATTTTTTATTCGAACCAAAAACCGAAGCATGTAATGTTGCCAAGTAAACTTCCAGAGTGTGCGAGCTAGCCATTTAAGCTCAGCACGTTTTGAAATTATATTAAAAAGGGGAGATACTTGTATTTACACATGAATATAATAAATTGTCTCGAATTCATGGGTGGAGTGTTGTTGGAAAATTTCACGGATATTTTAAGTTAAACATTTTAGGTTTCAACGAAATAAGAAATACCCCAATTATTATTATTATTATTATTATTATTATTATTATTAATTCACTGCAAACATAGGTTTTCAACATATTTGAAAAACAAAATTGAAAAGTCGTTATTTTCTAATATATTGAAGATTGATTTATATATGTATCGAAAAGGAAAAAGAAAAAAAGCAGATTGATTTATATATAGGTTGGCTGTAGGTAAAGATTAGCATGGATTTAGAATACTCAATCGCTATTCACCGTCCCCCTATTACTACTCACCGCCCCCCCCTTGGACAATTTTGCCCCTTGCATTTTTTTCAAAAAGTAAAAAAAAAAAAAAAAA